CTGCTGTCCTGGGCGGCTCTGAGCTGGCAGGGGCGTTTCAGTGCGACACCGTGTTCTCTGGGGAGCAGCAAAGAGAGAAACTCCGTGTCCTCCTGCGACCGTGGGCCTGGAATTGCGTTGAGAGATGGGGAATTCGGGTGGCCGGAGCACGAGGGACTGATCCTGGTTTCTGTGTTCACATTTGGCTGGCCCAGGATCGGAGTCGAGACCCAGCTTCCGTCAGGGCTCGGTGGCTCAAAGTCCTCAGAGGCTCTGGGGATGTCAGTGGCCACATCAATGGCTTTGGGACATTTGATGCCAAAAAACGTTCTCCCACCGTGGGACACTGGGATAGGAACAATTCTGGGGAAGCTGAAAGGCAAAACTCTGAACCATTTAGAAACTGTTGAAAGAAAAATGAGGTTTGAAAACGTCAGTTGTAAGGAGACCTTGTGTGTTCAGAGTCTGTGGCTCAGATTTTCAGGCTTTTTCCTGTTCCAGCAGTGGGATACAATGGCATACGTGCTTTTTCAGTGAGTCTGGGAAATCCTGCAATCATGGATTTAACAGCTGGGACCTTGAGGAGGGGAAAAAACAAACAAGTGTGTTGGCAAGGCTCCGAAACGAGGCAGCTCCTTCTGCCCCGCTGCCCGACTCGGGCGGGGGAGGTGGCAAATCTCCTCTTCCATCTCTGGTTCAAACATCAAACCTGAGTTGTTCTGATCTGATTTATTACCTTTTGATCTCCATCCGGCCCCGCCGCTGCTCTCTGGGACAGCACAGGAGGGAGCTGAGTCAGTCCTGGAGCTGGAGCTCGCCGCTGTCTGTGTCTCATTCCCTTGCTATGCTCCCCGAGGGCAGGAATGCATCCGTCCCGTTCAGGCTCTGCCGGCTCCCCGTTCCCAGCTCCTCTGCTGTCCCTCGTGTCCCTGCCAGGCGGGGAGGGGACCCACGGGCAGGGCAGCGTGTCCTGCCCGTCCTCACCGGGCTGGTGTCGGGCTGGGGCAGCTCCCGGTGACCCTGCCTGGCACGGCCGGTCCTGTCTGCGGCTCCGAGTGCCCTAAAAATACCTCGGAAAGCGCTGCTGGGAGCAGCCCCGCTGCCTCGCCAGCGGCCGGGATGTTTTCCTGCCTTTGTTGGTGCCTTGACACACAGGGTTTGTTTCTGGGCACCCCACGCCCGCCTCCCTGCAGCGGCTGCTCTGCTCCAGGTGCCTTTCCCGGAGGGCAGGGCCGGGCCAGGGGTTGTCAGGGACAGTTCTGTCACTCAGGGAAGGTCTGAGTTGGCACATTTGCTGTTTGATGTGATGGAGTCATGAAGCTTCCCAGGGGGTGACCAGAGTTCAGGGACGTGCAGTGCTGGTAAATATTCACTTTTTAGCACAAAAACCCGGCTTTTGTTAAGCCGAGCCAAGGAAATTGAGGAGAGCAGTGCTGGCCTGCGGACTGCAGGAGAGGGATTTGTTTTCTTTCTCTGTCTTGGAGAGCTCTGTCCTCCCTTGAAGCTGTCTTCCCGATATAGCAGCAGTTGCTAACTCTGAATGAATGCGCCGGATTCCGGCAGCGCCGAGCGGGATTCGGCCGCTTGGGTTTGAGTTTGGGCAGCGCTGGGGTGGCACCGTCCCAGTCAGTTGTCACACTAGAAATAGCAAACAGAGCCCAAGTGCCCGTTGGGGTGAGGCTGGAGATTTCCCAGAATCATCCTGGAGGTGGAGCGGGGCTGGAGGCGGCTCAGAGCCCGTGAGGTGGCAGAGCTGGGGGTGCCACACGTCGCTGTCACCACGGCGCCTCTTGGGCAATATCCGAGGATGCTGAGGAAAGAGCCCTGAGTCAGCGCCACGCTGCCACCCCCAGAGGCCTCCAGCAGGGAGGGGACATCCTCAGGGTCCCCACGGAGGGGTTGGAGTGAGGCAGTGGCCATCTGTCACGTCTGGTACCTGCACACATCCACCCCACCTTTGGGTTTGTCTCTCCTCAACCTAAAACTTCAGTCTCAAGGCCAGGTGTGGTGTACGGTCTGCTGGAGGAAGAATTAGGATGGTGTTTGTGGGGTTTTCCTGCCCCTCAACATGGTGACAAACAACCCCCACCCCCAGATCCATCGGGCTTTGTCCCGTGAGCTGTTGGTATCCAGGAGCAGGAACGGTGCCAGCAGGAGAATTGGCTCTTGCACAGCTTCGGCATTGCAGAGCTGGATCAAAACACGGCTCACACCAGTGCAAAACAAACCCTGCTGAGCTGGGCACGCTCACGGCTCCGTGCTGGGAAGGTGGGACCAAAAGTAGAGAGGACAGAGGTGCAGGAGCTGGGGGAAGAGCAGGGAACTGAGGGTGGCTCAAACGAGAGCCTCGTTTCTCTTCATGGAGAGAATTTTTATGTGTGTGGGGTGTGAGGACACCTGGAGCGTCCTCCCAGCGTTTCTCCTCTGTTTCACTTGGGTCATCTGCTGCTCTGAAGGAAAGCAGCACATCCAAGGAGCCTCTGGAGCATCCTGCAGTCCTGGAAGTGCCTCGGAGTTCAGCTCCAGGGAGGTGGGAGCTGGGCAGTTCTCCCGGGAGGAGCAACTCCCTGATGCTGCATGGAGCCAGGATGTGGTGCTGGGGTCGCTTCTCTGGAGATCTTCAGGGAGGGAGGATCTCCCGTGGAAGGAGGATCTCTTGTGGAGAGAGGATCTCCCGTGGAAGGAGGGTCTCTCAGGGAAGGAGGATCTCTCACAGAGGGAGGATCACTCATGGAGAGAGGATCTCTCATGGAGAGAGGATCTCCCATGGAAGGAGGATCTCTCATGGAAGGAGGATCTCTCACGGAGGGAGGATCACTCATGGAAGGAGGATCTCTCATGGAGAGAGGATCTCTCATGGAAGGAGGATCTCTCATGGAAGGAGGATCTCTGTCGAAGGAGGATCTCTCACAGAGGGAGGATTTCTCATGGAGGGAGGGGAAAACTGTTGATGCTGAGGCTGCTTTTTCATAAGCCACTGTTGCGTAAGGGGAGCCTTGGGCAGCACAGAAAATGTGGAGAACTTCCTCGCAATGCTGGAGACAAAGCCAGGATTGCTCTCTTAATTTCTTTCTTCCTTTGTGCTTTCCTAAACTTCAAGGCTGATGTAAATTCCGCAGGTTTGCCCAGGGCTCGATGCACCGACGATAACTTTCATTCGTAGCCTGGGGGTGCAACTTCCAGGTGAAAATTGTCTCTTCTGCTCCTGCCTCGGCCTCTCTGCTCCATCCAGCTGCCTTCTGCAGTTCTGGGGAGGCTGCTGGGAGCAGCTGCAGGGTGGGAATATTCACAGCAGAGCTGTCTCTGAGGTGGGCTCTGCTCCCTCCTTCTCCCACGTCCCTTGCTCGCTCCCAGATTTTGCCGTGTCCTTTCTGTCACCTGTGTGTCACCCTTGGAAACTCTGGTGTCTCTGTCCTGTTGTGGGGGGCCTGGAATTGGCTCCTCGCTGTCCCAGAGTGGAGGCACCACAGAGCCCCTGGCTGCAGGAGCCTCTGCTGAGCTCAGGATCATCCCTGCCTCTGCCTTTTCCTTCTTCCAAGACCTCACCAAGCCCTCGCTGCAGCGGTGGACGCAGAGAGGAGGTGGCAGCGTCCCAGGGAGGGTCCCCACGCCGAGGGACAGCCCCTAGCACAGCTGGGTTTGTCTGGGCCACACGCTGGGATAATTGAACTGCACGTTAAGCAGATCTGTGCCTTGTGATGGTTATTCAGCCTTTGGAAGCCGGGTTTAACTGGGAGGCCTTAACTGGCCCTCGCTGTCTGGATGAGGGATGGAATCAGAGGTGCCCCCTTCCCCCTCGTGCCCTGCGTAAGTTTTGATTTATGGGGTGCTTTTAGAACAGATGAAGCTGTTTGGAGAATTCAGTTATTTCATAGAATCATGGGTTGGTTCGGGTTGGGAGGTACCTTAAAGTTCATCCAGTCCCACCCCTGCCATGGGCAGGGACATCTTCCCCTGTCCCAGCCTGGCCATGGACACTTCCAGGGATCCAGGGACAGCCACAGCTTCCCCACCCTCACAGGGAAGAACTTCTTCCTAATTAGCACTGCAGACTCTGTCAGTCCCGGGTGGTGACTTATTCCTGACCAAAATCCCAGGAGAAAGCACATTTCTGGGATGTGGGTGAGCTGGCAGAGCACGCTGGCATCACGAGTATTCAAACGCGGGATGGACACGCTGTGAACTGGCAGGGACCGGTTTCAGGCGCTGAGTTGGATCTCCAGAAAGTGCAGCTCGTGCGTTTGTTTTCCCGGTATCCAAGCGTTCGAGTCCAATGAATCTCTGTTCAAATTTCCCTGCGTTCATCTTGATGCTGGTTGTTAACCAGGACCAGAACTTTCGTCCCCACATCTGGTGGCTGGGTGCAATCCCAGCCCTTCCTTCCAGGGATGAGCTGAGCTGGGAGCTGTGAGGGGCTGAGCTGTGATTTGGGATTTGGAATTTGGGATTTGGGATTTGGGCTTTGGGGGTGCTCCACTTGCCTGGGTTCTGTCGGCTCCCTTTGAGGCTCCTTTGGCCACAGCGGGATCTCTGCAATTCCTGCTCCACGGAGGTGCCTGGGCAGGCTGAACCTGTGGCAGCAGGCTCAGCTTGACGTGGGCAGCACTGGAGGTGGTTTGTGCTGGGGTTTGGCCACATCCCAGCGCGGAGAAGCCGTGGCCACGCCGGGCTGCAGCTCTGAACTTCCCGGTGGGCTCAGCCCTGGGGATGCTCGGGGCGCTTTTGGGGTCCCGGTGCTGCAGACACGCTGTGCTTTGGGATGGGGAGGACAGGGGTGACCTCGGGGGCTGTCCCAGCATCACCTTCACCCCAAGAGCGCTCACAGCAGCCCTACCTGCTGCGGCCCGGGTGTCTTTCACTGAGGTGAGAGTTGTTGTGCAGAGTTTCCTCTTTTATATCCTCTTATGTCACGCAGCCCCGGCGGCTGAGCGCGCCCGAAATAGCTGCCAATCCCGGGAGGTTTCACTTCAAGGTCTCTATTCTTGGCTCGCCGGCGTTACTCAGTCATGAGCTCAGGGACCGCGGCGTGAGGACCGGCAGCGAGTGCCATGCAAGGCTCCTGCTGCCAGCCCAGGGTGGCTCCAAGGGGACGCTGCGGGCACAGCCCGGCTCGGCAGCCTCACAGCTGCGGGCTCTGAGAGACCCCGGCTGTGCGGGGATGAAATAAACGCTGCCAGAGCCGCTCCGGGACGGGATGAGTCAATTCTGAGAGGCTGCTCCGTGGCTTTGGTTGCGTCTGACCCAGCTCGGCACGGCTCAGATGCTCTCCCTGCTGCACCCAGGATCGGGTGGGCAGCAGGGATGAAGCAGAAGTGAACGTGGGATGAGGAGCCGCGGCTTTCCGGGAGCGGAACTCGCTGGATGTTCTCAGGGCGCTGCGCCGGGGTTGGAGATCTCCACCACGCTGGTGATGTTCAGCCCGTCCTGTAAGTGCTGGGGAACCATCAAATCCATGGCTGGGGATTTGTTCCTTCCCAGCACGGCTCTGAGCCCTGGTGGGGCTGTGGGAAGGTGTGCAGGGAACATCCTTCAGGATGTGCAGGGAGAGGGAGCGCTGGGTCTGCTCCTGGGCCTGGGGTGGGGCTCACACCGGGGTCCGGTGGGCTCGGGACACTGGGGGTTGATGGGGACGGCCACCAGTGGGGCAGGCTCAGGACACCGAGGGTTGTTTGGCACGGCCACCAGCAGGGCTGAGGGTTGATGTCCTGCAGGAGGGTCCCAGCTCAGGTCCTTCTGCAGCCTCGGAGCCCCAGGAAGGGACTGACAGCGCCAGTCCCAGCTGCAGCAGCAGACACAGGACAGGTTCCTTTGTCAGCTGCATTTTCCAGCTGTTTCAGAGCAAACTCACAGGTTACCCACCAGCTCTGCTCAGATCTGGTGAAGGCACTGCCCGGGGGGATGCAGGAGAACCCCTGGGTGGTGCTTCCACAGGACTTTGGCTATTTTTGAGGGTTCTTCTTGGGAGGAACATAATTTTCCAGACTTCTTTTCAATTCCTTTAACATTTTCAAGCTATTCTGACTCCAGCCTTGCTGGGTGAGGTGTATTTCCACCCCACAGTGGGTCATGCCCAGCTTGGGGCACAGACAGCATCCTACACCTGGGGGATTTATGGCACGGGGGATTTATGGCATGGGGGAAAAAGCCCATCCTGGGTGGGAAAGGTGCTGCTGGTGGCTTTGGCTGAGCTGGGAGGTGGTTGGGGCTCTGTACGTGGGGTTGCTGGGGAGGGAGTGTTGTGTTCCGAGCTCGCATCCTGCCTACGCTGCGGGGAACGGTCACGTGCGCGCGAGGCCTTTGTCCTGTGCCTCGCTGCTTTTTTTAAAATTTATTTTTAGGTGCTCTCCGGCTTCCTCTTCCTCCTGCGCCGCGCTGCACTCCCTCTTTCTAACTCCCTCTTCTAGGATTGCTTTTTGAACAGTCAGTTCCTCCTTAAACCCATTTTTGCAGGCCTTTGTCTGCGCTTGGGAGCCGGCCCAGTTCAGCATTAGCAGCTGCCGGCTGCTCTGGGTAAGCGAGAGCAAATAAAGCTTTGCACTGAATGAATCATTTGAGCCTTATCTGTCGTTCCCAGTCGGGACAGCTGCGCAACTTCTGCCTGCAGGGCACGGAGGCTCCTCGGAGAGCTCCTCCTGCCAGCAGCCAGCCTCAATGGGTTTGTGCTGCTGATCCCCCAGCGGATCCGTCCTGTGTCTCCGAGCTCTATCCCACGCTTGGTTACGAAGCTCCGCTCTGGAATGGCTCCCTCTCCATCCTGCCTCAGCCTCATGGGTGCTTTGGGTGGTTTGGTGGCTGGGTGAGAATGCAGAAGTGTCGTGGTGGCAGCCACATCGTGGTGGGATGCTCGTGGTGGTGGGATCCACATCGTGGTGGGATCCACATCCTGGTGGGATCCACATCCTGGTGGGATCCTGGTCATGGTGGAATCCACATCCTGGTGGGATCCTGGTCATGGTGGGATCCACATCCTGGTGGGATCCTGGTCATGGTGGGATCCACATCCTGGTGGGATCCACATCCTGGTGGGATCCACATCCTGGTGGGATCCACATCCTGGTGGGATCCACACCATGGTGGGATCCACATCCTGGTGGGATCCTGGCTGTGGTGAGATCCTCATGGTGGTGGGATCCATATGGTGGTGGGATCCTCACGGTGGATGAGCTTTGGAGGCAGACAGGGTGTGTGGGGATGAGCTCCTGGTATCCCCCAGGCTGTGGGACACTCAGGAGCTGTGGTTTAAGAGTTTTTGCTGGTTTAAAAGGCAGGATTTGCAGATAAGTTTGTTCACTAACAAGTGTGGGAGGGATGGCAGATAAAGCCTTGGGCTCGTGCCTGGGAAGTTTGGATCTGACACCAAGCTGAGGAGTTGATCAGAGCTCCCGTTGGATTGTGGAGGGTTCCTGAGGGATACCCTGGCAGCCAGCAGGGGTCTGGATCCATCACCCCTTCCCTTCTCCCTGGGAGCTCCGAGTGCCCCGTGCTGAGCTGAGCAAACAGGCCCTGCACAGCCCCACGAGGCTGGGGTGGAACCTGCATTTCTCAGAGCAGCTCAGCCACTGAGCTCTGCCTTTTACCACCACGACTGTGCCCAGCCAGGGCTGCCCTTAACTCATTTCTTTATTATCCATTAGGTGGACGGGGCAAAAGTCCTGCTGGGTTTGTCCAGGCAGCTCTTGTGGAGCTGTGGGGCTGGGCCGTGTCGTGATGCCTCATCTCCTGCGGTGGGTCCATCCCTGGCTGTGCAGGGATGCTGAATCCCTCCTTCCCCACCGGCTGCAGGCTCCATAAAGCAAGCAGAAATAATTCACCTGGATTAAACCACAAATCTTCCCTCTCCTTCCAAGGCTCTGCCGCCATAAACAGCCGCGGGCTGGGGTAGGTGAGCAGAGGCAGCGCGGCCCTGCCAAGGCCTCGTGTCCACAAATGACTAAATCCTGCCTGAAAAGTCAAAGTATGAAAACATTATTTTTTGGGTTTGGCTGAGCCTCGTGGATTGCTGGGATCGAGCCACCTTGGCTGCCTCTGGACGCTGCCTGCGGCTCTGCCCACCTTGCAGCCGGCGAGGAGGGGGGAGGAAGGCTGGGAGGATGAGTGGGGGGCTGGAGGGGGTTTGGGGGTGCTGGTTGTCACCCGAGAGCTGGCTCAGGGTGCGCCCTGGGGTGGGTCTGTCACCCTGGGCTTGGAGCACAAGCAGGGCTGGACCTGCTGCTCCACATCCCTGCTCCCAAATTGCTTCTCCTGGGCACCTCCAGCTGCCCAGGGCTGGGGAATTTCCTGCTGCTGGAGATGGATAACGCCGATGCCGGGCTTTGTCTCCCATCGCAGCCTCCTGGGGAAGCTGAGCTGGTTCCCACTGGCAGGGGCAGCTCCTGGCTGGATCCAGAGGTGGTTTGTGGATCTGGGATCCCTGATCTGGGATCCCTGCACTGACCCTGCACCGCTCCCAGGTATCCAGAGCCGCCGGCACAGGGCTGGCAGCCGGCAGCCCCCGGTGCGTAGCCAGGCCCGGCGGTGAGACGCTGGTATGCGAGATGTAAACTCAATCCCAAAGTTTAGATTACAGCCCTGTGAAAAACATCAGCTCCCCTAAATGGAGCCCAGATGGTGGCGGAAGCCTCGAAGCCTCGGGCCAGGAATTGCAGGAACCGTGTGAGCACAGGGCCGTGGGGGAGGGAGAGGAAGGGAGGTGGGCTTACAGCATGGAGGGTCAGTTCCCAAACCAGCCTGGTTCCTCCACCTCATGCCTTTGGAAACAGCCGGGGATGACAAAAGTCTCCCGAGTTGCATCACGCAGCCTTTCCAAAGCCCAGGTTTCCCACAGAGCTGAGCTCGCGGGCGTCGAGGGCTGGAGGCCGTGAGCACACGAGCTCTGCTCTCCCGGGAGCTCTGCCAGAGGAGGAGTTTCCCCGTGCCCTCATCTGGGCAGGTCCAGACCTGAGCCCAGGGCGGGGGGCAAGAGGGAGCTGGAGCTGGTTTGGGCAGGAGGAGCTGCCCTGGGATGGTGGGGACAGGCCGGGGGAGCCTGGCCCTGACTCAGTGTCCCGCTGTTGTGAAAAAAGGAAATGTCCCGAGGTGCTGAGAGGGGGCTGGGGGCTCAATCCCCCTGTGCCACGGGCACGGCTCCTTCTGGGAAGGCACTGAGTGGTTGGGAATGTGGGGGTCTGGGAGGGCTGGACCCTGGCACGATGGAGATGTGCAGATGCTCTGGTGGTGTGGGAGCAGCCCAGGAGCGGTGGTGGCCTGGGCCTGCAGCAGGGACCTGCTCGGGGGCACGATGGGTCCGGCACGGATGGGCTGGGAGGTTTCTCTGGAGGCTCTGGCCACGTTAGATGGCAGAGCTGAGTGACCTGTCCCTGTGAACAGGACAGCACAGTGAGCTCTGCCCTTGGAGGAAGGCGCAGGTCCCTCGAGAAAACTCCGTGGGTGCAGGAGCCACACAGCCCTCCCTCCCTGGAGAGAAAGTGGTGAGCTGACACAGCCTGGGGACAAACAGCCAGCCTGGAAAACATCCCAGCTGGGCACCTGGAGGGACACAGAGCTCCTGTGGGGACATGGAGCTCCTGTGGGGACATGGAGCTCCTGTAGGGACATGGAGCTCCTGTAGGGACATGGAGCTCCTGTAGGGACATGGAACTCAAATCTGCAAAAAGGAGTCCCTGCCTTGCAGGGAGAGGTGAGGGTGAAGCCCAGGCTGGCTGGGCAGAGGACACTCGAGGCCCCAGCTCCTTTGGTGGCTGGAGCAGAGCAGGACGTGTCGGAGGCAGGGGTTGAGCTGTGGTTTGTGCGTTGGCCTCATCCCTCCTGCGTGAACGATCGCGGTGACGCCACATCTGAGCAGCGCTCGTGTCAAATCGCAGCACAGGGAGTCCCTGGAGAAACGTCTGCAGTCGGCTCCGGGCCTGGCCAGGGCTCCACGAGTCTCGTTTGCAGTTCCTGAGGGTTCCTTGGCCGCCTCCTTGTTTGTGCTCTGAGGTGCAGATCTGCATCGGTGCCGATGACGAAGCCTTGAAAGCTCCGTCAGGAGCAGGGAACTGGGAGGGTTTGTATTGTCCTTGCCTCGGTGGGACCTCGCTCAGGGCTGGATCCTCGGGGTGTCTGGCTGGCTTAGTCACGGCAACCGTGCCTGGGTGGAGGTTCTGTCCCAGCTGGATCAGCGCCGCTGCTGGGGATGAGGAGGGATGGGGCTGGGCTGGGGGGAGCAGCAGCCCAGCCCCGCACGGACGTGTCTGGGACGCGGTGCCAGGGGAGCCGAGAGGGTGCAGGGTGTGCCTGGGAGGGGCGCAGGGTGTAGGACGGGGTGCTGGCACATCTGGAGGTGGGACAGAGAAACTTGCAGAAGTATTTGTAGGCTCAGCCTGGTTGGAGCTGGGGCGTGGGCTGGATCTGCACGAATCCATGTGTCCTCCCTGCTCCTCCTGCATCT